GTCCCGCAGCCCCGTTTGAAGTGTCGGAATTTGTAATCTTTTTTGCATGTGTGGCTCGACTAATTTTTGATGCTACTCCGCCCTTAAATTGATCGTAAAACTCGACAGCCGTGGGCTTTTTGGTTAAGTCATCAATTGTCCCTTCCTTATCACAAGTCGACAATAGGAATATTGTCTTTTGGGGATTTGGCTTGTATGTACTGTTGATGTACTTGCCTTCAGTTAAAGGTGGCTGTTCTGTCACAGAAAAAAATTCTTCCTCACAATCCGTTTCATAAGGCGGATCAGCCTCAAAGTTGTCTACTATCTCACTCTTAGAGCAGTTTTCTTCGTCACTATTATCATCTAACAACAGCTGACTAATAGTATCTAAAATAAAAATATAATCAAATAAAAATAATATAAGTTCTAATTTCAATGTAGGCAAAATAAGTACAAAGTTTACAAAACACCGAAATAATTATAACACCAAAAAAAAAAAAAAAAATAAATTTGCAAGAATAACGTTAATACTAACCTTCGTCGATTCGACGACTCATGGTGGCTGGAACGGCACACCCAGGGCCCCTACACAAAAAACACATTCGTGTGCCGCGGGAGCCTTGAGTCAACTAAGATCAGCCGGGATCTGAAAAGCCTACGACGACGCACTCAAAATTTATACCACTTTTTTTGAGTCCGCGTCGTCGTTTTGACGAAGGTTAGTGATCTAGGGTTAAAAGTAGGGGTGAGTCGATGATATTATGTAGCAATTTGTACAACATTTGATCTCTTATATCACGGCGTTTTTCGAGTGTATAACTGAGTAAGCTATCAATATAGGAGTCTACGGAAGAATCATATCGCTTTAAGTGACGCAGAAACTTATTATTGATTGTTTCAATAATTTTAACATAAACTTTGTATTGAGGATTCCAACATGAAGAGCAATATTCAAGAATAGATCGCACCAGGGTATTAAATAGTATAATTAATGTTGTTGTTGAACCATATAAATTGTTCAACAACAACATTAATTATGTTATGTTGTTGTACCTATCATATAAATTGTGTAAGTGATGAGTAATGACGTTAAAAGTTGATAGTAAAAGTTTTAAGGGAAAGGTTTTATTTTATTCTTTTAAGCGCATTTAAATAAAAGCTTGTTTTTAAAAAAAGTTTTTTTTACTTTTAATTTAGTTTTTACTTTTTAGTTATAGCTGGACAGGTTTCTCAGTCTGTTCATCTCATTTAACGCATCATTGTAACAATGTCGTTTGCCGGTTAATTTCAAACAGTCTAGCTTTTCAATAAGGAGACCTTCTAATGATTTTACAATACTGATCACGTATGCTTGACCAGCAGCGAAGATCTTCGAGCCTAAGTATATTTATAACGGAATGGTCGACAGCGGAGTTTATTATCACCATCCTATTTTTTTTTTAATTCGCATTCGTATTCTCAGCAAGTCCTTTAATTTTACACTATATAGTATACACTATATTTTATAGTACACACACTTGCAGGAATGCATAAAAAATTAGGCCGCCACTTTGGATTCAGTGTGACGTCACTTTATTTTTCGAGTTATTCTCAACAAGTCCTTTCATTTCATACCCGTAATGTAGAACATTAAAAATAACATGTTCGCCATCTTATGTATTCCACCAAGTTGGATTTAGAATGACGTCACACAGCTAACCATGTATTGTCATCCAAGTTAAACTTGTATACAAATTTTCAGCTTAATCGGTTAAAGATATCTGCTTCAAAATTGACTTTCAAGATTCCACCCGAAGAAACATAGTTATATACATTGCAAGTTAATTAAAAGCTTTTAATATTGCACCCGCGCAAAGGTAGAGCGCGTCGTTCGAAACATGTAAAAAAATTGAAATATATTTGATATTCCGAGTTGTATGTGCTTTTGTAAAATCTGATGTCTCAGTTGATAATTCAATTGCTACGCAGACGATCACAAAACCTATAGCTTTCGAGAGTAAAAGAGATGGCATAGAACAATAAATAATTACATTATTAATCAGTGATAACAATATTTTAGAAACGTTTAATTGACAAATTTATTGTAACGTAATCATAACGTTATACACATGCAAAGCTTTGCATAATATCGTTTTAATATATCGTTTCTCTTAAACATAACGTTATCATCGCATTTGCGCTGATAACGTTACTGTATTTTAACGATATTTTAAGTCCCTGGAGAAACCTAGGTTTCTCTCTCTCTCTGTCTATGGTCTTAGTTTTTCTATAATAAAGTTTCTATATGTATATATATTGTGTGTAATTAGTATTTATTGTAAATATTATAATTTAATTTCATTAATTAGAAATAATGTTGGCCATTATTTGTCAAATTTATTTTGTAATTGCGTGTTATTTGCTAATTTGTATGAAAAGTAAAAAAAATATATCTCATGAACCGTAAGTTTCCACTACCTAAAACTTTGCAAAATGCTTTCTTTTAGTAAGTACTATCTACAAAAAAAAATATGGGCATTTAAATCGATGGTCCATATTGGAAATTTTAACCCTCGTTTTTTATACTCACTGTTGCATGTTATTCTTTTTTGAGGAGTGTAGAATTAAAATACCAGTAATAATTTTCAATATCTATATTTCATATTTTGTTGGCCAGGTTTTTGTCAACTATAGTTGACGCTCAGGGCCCGCAGGTGCTGGTCAAGTATAGGCGACTTTGGCGCTCAAAAGGTTAAAGGTTCCCATGTAGTTTTGGCCCTAAAAAATAGCTGGTGGTAGTCGATTCCATAAACAAGTTGCGCTAGGAAGTAAACTTCCGGTAATTCGCACAGTGGTGGACCGCCAATAATCAAGATGGTAAAAAATATGAAATCAGAAGTCTGAATAACTTCAATACATTAAAACTTTTGAATAAAGGAAACTCACAAGGAATAACAGTGTATGTTTATTAACAGAATACATTACCTATCGCGTTATACTAGACTTCTATGTAAAATGTATATGTTTTGTTACTAGACTGGCATTTCAGTCTTATTTAATATGTTGCGTACAAGTTACGGTCATTTCTCCATAATTACTCTACCAGACTTCGAGCATGTGGAAAGATCTTGTCACAATAATAATGCTTCTGTGTTTGTCCAGGCTGGTTTTCTTTAATGTGACCAAGAAAACACTGTGATTATTTATGTGCGGACTATATGTCTCCGTAATGAAATAATTAAACCATTGTAAATGAAAATATCAGCTGCATGGCATATTTGCTGAGCCAGCTATCCAGCTGGGCGAGCCCACGAGATCCACAGGTCCACAGCTGTGACACAGTTTTTGTTCTTATAATGAAGGCAGCCAGTCTAATAAATAATAGGTTGTGGAAAAAGTTTCTTCATACGTACAAATTCAAGACTTTAGTTATAATATATATGTGCCATTTTGTCCGACAATTTGTTGTCATCTTGTAGGTGGCAGTCCGCTCGATTTAACCTAACACTACAAAAAAAAATCTGAAGAGACCAAAACAGGTGAAAATCTGAGGGTGCAAGGATACAATCCATATGCATATGCTTTAAGACTTCCCAGCCAAGTTCTCTCAATTTTCGCTGAGTGGCAAAATATGTGTGTGGTCTGGTATCATCATGATAAAAGACAACTCCTTTTCTGTTAATCAATTCCGGCCGTTTTTTCTCAATTTCTTGCTTGAGTCTTATTATTTGTTGACAGATCTGAATTGATGGGTTTGCTCAGTAATAAAAGCTCATAATAAACGGTGCCCTTCCAATCTCACCATACACACAGCATCACCTTATTGCATGTTAATCTGGATTTCGCTGCAGTCTGTGGAGCCTTGACTATCCTTTGACCATGATCTTTTTCACACGGTCTGGTCTTAGGTGATCACTTTCCATCACCAGTGATCAATCTTTTCAAAAACGTTTGGCTTGGTTTCATTACGTTTCAATAGAGAATTGCAAATTAGTACACAATCTACTAGGTTTCTTTCAGTGAACTCGTGTGGTATCCAAATTTCAAGCTTTTTTGTATAGCCGAATTTGTTCAAATGGTTCAAAACTATTTAGTGGTCAATGCTCAATTTCCGGCTATGTTGTAACTACTAATATGCCGATCTTGCTCTACTTTTTCAAAATTGCATCAACTATATAGGGGCAACCAGAGTGAGCTGCACATTTGACATCAAAATCCCCAGAATGAAAACCCTTGAAACAACTTTCTGGTACTCTTACTGACACTGCATTAGCACTACATAAATATCACAATTTTTTTCATGACTAGTTCCTTTTTTTCCTTTTTGTAGTAAAACTTCAAAATGTATCAAATTTTTTTATTAGATTCACTCATTTTGGCGGACAGAAAACCGATTGAAATTTATGTCCTGTCCGTATGTGTTGATACCAAAACCAGCCAGATACAAATAGTACAACCAAAAAAGATTTTTCTTCAATTTTATACAAACAAAATATGATGAAATTTTTTCCCCAACCTATTACTTAGAAGTTCTTGTGTAATACATTAATTTTTAAACTATCACTTGTTATTTTTCAGTGAAGAAAACAAGAAATTAAATTTATGGTTGTACTCACACACATATTATATATAAAGCGTTAAAATATAAATATTATGGTGTTTAAAAATTGCTTGATCATCTTCATTATCATCATTACAGAAATTTACAAGTTCACTGCTAAACATAGGCCTCCCCAAGAATGCCACAAAGCAGTCACAACTTATGGCATAAGCAACTGTTATTGCGTTACATTTATATATATATAATACAAAATATAAAAACTAAAATGCAAATACATTACTAAAGGAGTTTACAAGTTTACTATAAATCTGGATGCAAAAGAGTTTTGATTTTTTTTGTAGATCTTTCAGCAGGTCTTATACAAAGATGTTTTCCAAATAAAGTTATTTTAATTTTTCCAAGATACATATCAAAAACACATTCCCGTTTAGGAATTGTTGTAACCACATTATCCATTGAAACAATTTTAAAGGTATTCTTAGTGTCCATGATGCAAATACCTTTTTTTGCCAACATAACTTGGACATTTTGATCTAACTATTTGTAAAAAACTCCCATGAAAATCTGCCCTGTACAGAGTTTGTGTAAATTGTTCCCAGGTTTTGCTACTGCAGTCTGGAACAGACTTATCTAATTCAAGTAATTCATTGATATAGTCTGCCCATATTTCATTCATAGGCCTCACATCATCATATTTAACACTATTCCTTGGAATATTATAAAATCCTAGGTTCTTTTTCTCCTTCCTAGTTAATGTTCTAGACTTCTTTTTGCTTTTCTTTTTTTTCTTCGACTCTTTACCTTTCTTTTTAGCAAATATAAAATCCTTTTTTAATTCAGCCTCTACAGAGGCAACGTCCGATTTCGGGACATTTGTTTTCAAAAAATTAATGACTGCTTGCGCTGCATTTTTTTCAATAGCTTCTGCCCACAGGGCATTATTACTCCTAGCTTCTGCCATACTTTTATTAGAGCTTTTGACTAATCCAATAAACGTATTTTGGTACCAAGTACTTTACCAAGTAATTTAAATTTAATGCTCTTCGCTGCTCTAGTATCTATTTCATAACTTCCCGCGATAGCTTGTAACTTGTATTATAATATTATTTGGATAATTTCATATTCACAGATCACAGAACAGAACAAAAATACTCCTCCTCCTCTCCTTATTCTCCCCTATGGTTCTCAACTTTATAATTTGTGTCTCTTTCTCCTTCTCCCTAATACGTTAGTACTCTTATTAGTCTGTGTCCCTGCCTATATTAAATCATAGACACAAACTAATAAGCATAGAGATATCTATTTTTTTATTAACTGGTTTTACAGCTCTGGGTTCTAGCCCTTCCGAGCCTTAGAGATATCTAAAAAGAGTACTAATCATAGATAAATAGATATGTAGTACCTATTAAAAAAAGTACTCTGTGTTTTAAATTAAAGTTAAACGCATCGAGTATGGAGTGTAGAGTAAGGAGTACAGACTATATAAAAAATTGTCCGTAGGAAAGCACTAAATAAGGGTGGCGCCATTGTAGCTACAGTCTAAATTTTAAAGAACTTTTTATAATTTTTTATTGCACAGACTTTCACCATAATTCTTTTTACAATAATTATTATATGGTTTTCAAAATCACTCAACGTATTTTACGGCGACTTAACATACCCCGTAGCTACTTCAGTGCTGTGGTGAAGAGTTTTCGAAATGTTATTTACTGCTTACAGCTGGACACTTTTTGCAACTATTCTCCTATGGAAGTTGGTACTCCTTACTTTTACACTCCATAGCATGGAGGTTAGAGAACAGGAGCACGATCGCTGTATAAAATAGTGTCCCAGAAATATGGACAAAATAAATGAGGCACTGCGATCGCTAAGTTGTCTCAATATTTTAATTATTATAAATATTAAAAATTATTACACATATAAATTATTATTGTATTATTGTTATTATTTATAATATTTCACCATTTTTTAATGTTTCTTTTTGTCAAAAATTAAAAAATTACTTCACAGACTACTGACCGTCGGCAGCGCGACTTTAAATCAGGGACAGGCGGGCTATGTTTTAGCACGTCGCGATCGTTCTCCTGTTCTCTAACCTACATGGTTAAACGAAATGATTTTGGACTTTTTAATCATAATCAATAACACAGACCACTATATACTACTGCGTGATAGACTCAGAAATGAGGATATCCGCAGTAAAACCAGAGTGACTAGTAAGCTGAAGTGGCAATGGGCCGGCCACATAGTTCGAAGAATCGATAACCGATGGGGAAGAAAGGTTCTCGAGTGGCAGCTTCGTACCGGTAGGCGTAGTGTAGGGCGACCCCCCACTAGATGGAGTGACGACCTGGTAAGATATGCAGGAAGTCGATGGATGCAGGTGGCTCAGGACCGTGCTTTGTGGCATTAGTTCGGGGAGGCCTATGTTCAGTAATGGACTTGTGAAGGGCTGTAATGATGATGATGATGATGATTATGTACTAGGGGTATTACCCCTTTAAGTTTAATTTTAGAGAAAGGGATGTGCGACTAGGGATGGAAACGATACATCAATTCTTTTAAACATCAATATATCGTTCATAAACATGGTTATTCATGAGCGATGTTTTATGAACGATTTAACAGTGGTAGAGCCATGCGGCAGCTTTGCTGTTGCACGTATGGGCCGGCTCAAACCGAGGTGGTACCACGACCTTACAGAATACCGGCGTGAAGTGGAAGCTCTGCTTCCGCGTTTCGTCTGGTGAGTGTAGGTGGCCGGAGGCCTAATCCCCGCCCAACCCCTTAACTTGGTAACGGAATTAAGTTAAGATCTACCCCAGGAGGGTACCAGCCCCCCTGGAGAATCCCTCGCTGAGCATCCACGACCAAGTCACTCCACTCCTGAGCGTGAGTGCTCAGGCTGCCCCACGTATTCCGGCGGGGGGGGGGGTGGGGGGGGGGGGGTTCAGGCGAGGTCGGCTCTGCTCTTTCTGAACGAGACGCAGGTGTCCTCTCCGGCTGATGCTTCGTATCTCTCCTACCCGGGATACAAACTGGAACACTCCTTTGTGCCTCGGGCTGGAGTTTGCGTATACGTCAGAGACGACATCTGTTCTAGACGCCTCGGCAGTCTTGAAGGTTCGGACATGTCCATCCTATGGCTACGCGTAGACAGCGACGACCATCCGCGCGTCTAATGGTGCCTCTATAAGTCCTATAGTGGTAATGCCGAAACAGACCGTTTCTTCTACCACGTCCAAATGGCTACAGTTTCGTTACTAAAGCAGATCCCCTCCGCAGAGATCGTGATCCTCGGCAATTTTAACGCCCACCATGCCGAATGGCTTGGTTCACGTTCAACCGATCATGCGGGTAGATCTGTTTATGACTTTACTTTGGCATATGGTCTGACACAACTAGTGACCTCACCTACGTGGATCCCAGATGTGGAAGACCATGCACCTTCCCTGTTGGACCTTCTGCTGACCTCTTATTTGGACAGATATCAGGTCTCCGTCAATGTCCCTCTTGACTCCTCGGAACATTGCTTGATCCGTAGTATGGAGCTACTCACGCTCTCATCGCGGTTGCGTACTGTAGGTTGCCGCCGTGTTTATTTTAGGGCATTATAGGTCAGCAGATTGGGACGGAATGCAATCTTTTTTTGCATCCTACCTTTGGGGGGCGGTTTGCTTCTCGCTGGATGATCCCAGAGTTGTTGCTTAGTCCCCGATGTGGTGCTACAGGCAATGGAACTTTTATTGAATCGTCTGTGGTACCTATCGGAGGCAGAACCCAGCCTTGGTTTGGTCGCTCCTGCAAAATTGCATTACGTCATAAGCAGGAGTGCTACCAGGCCTAGGCAAGCCTAACATTGACGTCTCGGGAGGCAAATACCAGCGCTCTTAAAAAGAAGTACAACCTGGCTAGAGGTCCTTCAAAAGTGTCATTGTCAAGGCAAAGCCAGAGCACATCGGCAGAATTGGCGAGAGACTAGTTCGTTTTCCTTCGTTTGAACACGTGCATTCTGGTCTCTTGCCAAGGCTGTCCAAGGGAACTTCTGTCAGCCATCTCTGCCGTCACTGGAGAGGACGACTCACTAGCGCAAAGGACAAAGCCGATCTGCTGGGCTCTCTCTTTGTATCCAACTCGACTCTTGATGACGAGGGGAACACACCACCGACCATTCCACGGAGTGAGTACTCCATGCAGAATGTCCTGTTCAGTCAACGCTCAGTGCGTAGAGCACTCCTCTACCTGGACGTCAACAAGTCGAGTGGGCCGGATGGCGTTCCTCCTATTGTGCTGAAGACATGTGCTCCAGAGTTGGCACAGGGTTTTAACACGTCTGTTCCGGTACTCCTACTCCCTCGACATAATCCCGAAATCATCGAAGACAGCCCTCGTGCACCCGATCCCTAAAAAAGGTAACCGTTCGGATCCGTCCAACTATAGGCCTATCGCAATCACCTCCTTGTTCTCTAAAATAATGGAATTCATTATTAACAGCCAGCTCATGGGGTGCCGTGACGATCATCAGCTGATTAGCGACCGCCAGTACGGTTTCCGTCGCGGTCGCTCGGCTGGTGATCTTCTGGGTTACCTAACTCATAAAGGGTGGAGGCAGTATAGTCAAAGGGGAGGCGTTGGCCGTCAGTTTGGACATAGCGAAGGCGTTCGATCGGGTTTGGCACAAAGCGCTTCTTACGTAGCTTCCTTCCTATGAGCTTCCCGAGAAATTGTGCAATTGGATCACCAGTTTTCTTGCTGATCGGAGCATCAAGGTCGTAGTAGACGGTGCATGATTCGATTACAAGCCAATTAACGCTGTGTCCATAATTATTATTAATAATTAATAATCAATTTCTATATAAGGGGGCATCAAAAAAAATAGTCTTAAAGGATATATATTAAACAATAAAATTACATTATTAAGCATAAAGTTAAAAATAAATACATTTCAGACATTAAGTATTATAGTAAATTTAAGGCAAAATATTGTCTTTCAGAATAAATAAATTTAACAAAGATATTGATTAATTTGCAACCTTCCGCTAACTAAATACAATGATGTGTCTTACCTGGATTGAAGAGCACCTCCCGCCTTCCCTCAATTGCGTGCACTAATTCCGTCACCATTAGTCCCAGCACCATTACTCTCAACACCACTACTCCCGGCAAGACTACTTCCAACACCACTATTCCAGGAAAGACACACCATCGACGATAATACGGCACGTGTTTCGCCTCTACACGAGGCATCCTCAGGTGATGTAGACTCTACGGTGGCTGACCGGTCAAGTTACTAAACAAACACAACGTAAAAAAGAGTCCTAACGAAGACAATCACGTCAAAAATATTACAAACGGCCTATTATCAAACCTTTAGAAAGATCATTTAGAAATATCAAAACATATTTTATTTATCCTGGGAACATATATATAATTTTATTTAAAAAGGGGAAATTGCCTAATTATAAATAATATAATTGATTTATTATGAAGAAGGGGGGGGGGGTGGAGCGCTACAATATCAATGACATGTTGCAAACAGACAACATTTATTGCTATGAAGACGACAGCACTCGGGAAAGCGTCACGTCGCTGAGTACCGCGACAGATTGTGTCTGAAGTCGAAACTTTGTTAAACAAAGTCTCGGAGTGGGGGCGGCTACATTTAATCGTTTAATCCCCAAAAGACACGTTTGCGCGTTTACCGTTAAAAAGAACCCTTCGTCATATCTCCTCAGTTTCAAGGCACTCCCCTTGTTGCCTCAGCCAATATCGGAATCCTCGGCTTTGACAAATCGAGTGACGTGCAGTTTCGTGATCATTTGGAAGAGAAGGCCGAACTGGCCTCTAAAAAGCTTGGTGTGCTCAGCAGAGCGGGTCAGTATTTCATGCCGGCTCACCGCCTGCAACTTTACAAGGCGCAGGTTCGGCCGCACATTTGCTTTTGTTTGCAGTTGCCGCTCC